AGGTGAGGGGGGGGGGGGGAGGGGAGGGGAGGGGAGGGGAGAGGAAGTGCAATATAGGGAGATGAGAAAAGGAGGTGGAGGGAAAGGAGGTAGAATGGAGGGGAGGTGAGGAGAGGAGATGAGATGGGGTGTGTGGAGGTAGGTGGGGCAGAGGTGAGGTGAGGAGCTGAGCTGGCCACAGGGTGTTTTCTCGAGTTCCCAGGGAAGGGAGGGTGGCTGAGCTCCTGGCGTCCCTTGGGGTGCTGATGGCTGAGAGGGGCACAGGTCCCTGCAGTGGGAGGATCGTATCCTCAGTTGCAGCCCTCCAAGCAAGGAGTCGGCTGGGACTAGGAGTTGGTGCTGCAGGCCTGGGACCCTCAGCTGGGGGTCCAGAGAGGCCACTGCAGGACCTGTGCTCAAGGAAGAGCTCGTGATGCTAAGCTCACTCTGCCAAGAGGACGCCCCTGGGTCATGGAYAGCCTGCTGAGGGGTGGGGTCTGTTCTCCCCTGGAGGGAGTCTCTGGAGTCACCCTGGGGATCTGCCCTTTCCTACCCTGCTGGTAGGTGTCAGGGAATGCAGAGGCTCAAGGCCTTCCAGACAGTGACCTGCCTGTCCACAGCTACCAAAGGACACAGCTCTGCRTGCCATCCTGGGGGCGCCTCTACCTGGCACCCTCCCGGAGCCAGCACCCAGGGCTCCGGGATCTGTGCAGCCACTTGGGACTTGAACAGGAGGTGGAGTGGGCACCTGGATGTGGGAGGCCTTTGTCAGCAAAAGTCACCCCACGTCCTCTCCCTGCTGAGCTGCCCAACTGGCCTGACCCTTCCCACTGCATCCAATGGAGGCCTGCTCTCTTCTCCACTTGCTTTGCCTTGTGCCTTGGCAAGTGGTGCAGACCGAATCTCAGAAGTCAGGCACACAAGCACAAACCGCCCTGTGGTGGAACTCGCCGTGAGTGTGCAGAGAAGCCGTGGGGCTGAGGGTACTGCTCTGTGGAGAGGTGTGAGCAGAGCTCGGGAGGTGGGCAGCCAGGCTGAGGATCTGGCACATGTAGGGAGGGGGGAGGTTGGGAGGGAGCTCTGGGCCTGGTGATAATGGGAGAGGTGCTTCACATAGCTATGCAAACCCTCTGCCTCTCACTGAGTGTCCAGAAAAAGTGCATGGGGTGGGGAATTTGCAGCACTTCTTCCATGGCTGGGTGACCCCAGGACAGGCAGGGCAGTGATTAGCTCTGCGCAAGCTGGAAAGTGCTGGGGGGGTGAGCGGGGCCTGCGGCTGGTGCTGTGCAGGCCTCTCTGGGCAGTGGGCTTGCCTGCTGGAACACTGGACACCCTCCGGGAGGCTCCTGGCCTGGCTCTGGTGGGGGGTCCTGGGAATTTCACCCTGTTTGGTTTTTCCTTTCTGCCTCCCCATTCTCTGGAACCAACCCAGTTGCCATGGAAACTGCTGTTGCCAAGGCAGCGGATTGGCCAGCGCCTGGGGGGTGGCGGCTTCCCTGGGGTCCAGTGGCATTGTCAGCTGGCACTGCAGAGCCAGCAACAGCATGGACAAGGCTGGGGCGGATGTGTGGGCGGACACCTTCACCCAGCTGATGGCCCAGAAGAAGCCCCAGGACGTCTGGGTTCTGCACCCTGAGGAGAGCCTGGTCGCAGGGGACCTGGAGGGTGGCGGTCTCCAGTTGCAGCTGAAGGGGCTTTCCAGGTGCGGCTGAGGGCAGGGAGGCCTCTGGTGGGGTCCTGGGAAGGGGAGAGGCTGAAGGTGCCTCCCCACCAGTTCTGGGTCACGCTTGGTTCCTGAGGACAGGCTGCGGCCAGGCTGCGTGTAGCCTAGGTGTCGTCACCTGGTCTGGTCCCCAACAGGTGGGTGGGGCCAGGAGTTCTAGGTGCAGTGAGACCTCAGGGCTGGGAGGCCAGGGCCTCCTGTTGTTGGGGCAACCTGCAGTCTGTTCTGCTCACTCTGGCCCCTGGCTGGTGCTGCCCTGGGGCAGGGGAGCCATCTGTATCCATGGTGATGCTCTCTGGTCACTCTGGGATACCAGGCAGGGAGGGGGTCATTCTGCCCTTTGACATGAATGCCATAGCTTCCTGCACCATGTGTCGGGTCCTGGCCTGTTCAGGTGTGGGCGAGTCGTTACTCTTGAGATGCACCTGGAAGCAGCACACCGCTCTTCCAGCAGGCCAGTCACACTGTTCCAAGTCACTGTGCCTCAGCCACCTTGCATGTCTGCCCTGGGACAACYCCTCCAGCAGTCCCCCCAAGTTTCCATCACCATTCAGGGAAGGACAGGGCCTCCTCCTGCCTGAGATCCCCCATCAGCTGACAGGGCTCAGCTCCCAGCTCCCCACATCTTCTTGCTCGTGCCTGCCTGTCCACATGGCTGCCTCCGACAGTGCCAGGCTCCACATGCAGGGCTCGGCCAGCGGCAGGAGTTCCTGGCCTCTCAGGAACAGGCATAGAGTCCTGGTGCCATGCTGGTGACACTGTGTGCTTTCTGGAATTTCAGAGTTTGGGGCTGCAGGCAAAGGCGGTCAGACCGACGTTTGGCCCACTTGTGGACAGAGGCTAGAGCCTCATGGAGCTCCTGCACAGCAGAGGAGGTGTGGGCCTGCCTGAGCCGCAGGCCTGGCTGGCTGGTGGGGGAGGGTTGAGGTTTGAGGTTTGAGTGGGATGTGAGGCCCAGGGCTGTGGGGCGCCAGGCAGATGAGCAGTCTGCGTCCCAGCAGAGCACCGAGAGGCCCAGCTGTGRGGCCTCGGCAGCCCACCCGCCCTCCCCTTTCTCACCTGTCCCTCTTCCCCCACAGGCTCCAGTGCAGCCGATGCCCGTGGACCTGGGGCTCTGCCCACGTGCACACCCTCTTCCACCTGTGGTGGGACGGGGACAGTGGCCAGGGGCTGGTGAGGATGCGTGTGTGGGGCCAGCAGTGCAGGCTGTGCCCCTGGGACACCCTGGCTGAGTGCCAGGTGAGCCCTGCCAGTGTCCACATCTTCCTCAGCAAGCTGGTCTTGTTCATCCTGTGGAAATGCTATGGGGACAGCAGCGACCCAGGGCAGTGCCCTGAGATCGGCCTCGGAGACTGCTGTGAGGCTTGTGATCTAGGGCTCTGTTTCCTGCAGCAAGTGTCCGACCCTGCCCGGGGGACTGTGGTCAAGAGTATCAGTGCCAGGAAGAGCAGGCATGCTGTGAAGGGCTGTGGCTCTRCCACAGAGGCCAGTGGTCAGCAGCTGTTCATCCACAGCAATGGCCCCACACCTGCCACCGTCCCCCTTCTGGTGGTTGACTTCAGTGAGGACCTGTCCCCTGAGAGTGACGGCTTCCTCAGTGGGGGTGGGGGCACTATAACCATCCCTTTCTCCCTTGTAGGTGGCCACTGGAAGGGCTGCCTCCCAACAGCTGGTGGCCACCAGCCACCCATCATTGGCCAGGGCTCCATCTGCCTCTCTGGAAGCTCTGTGGCCGAGTCTGAGCACAAAGGCACCCCTGTGAACCTCAGCGCCCCCATCTTCCACCGCCGAGGGCTGCCGGGCAGCGTCCAGAGGGCCTTTGCATCGAGAGGCTTCCTCTTCAAGGGCCAGGGCTTTGTCCTGGTCCCCAGTAGCAGGGCCTTCAGCCCTGGCCCTGTCACTCCTGGGAGAGACCCACCCCTAGTGTCCTATGTCATTGGCCTCATGGCTCATGGGGAAGGTTCCATCACTTTCCCCTCGTCCTTGGCCAGTGTCATCAGAGGCCAGGATCTTGTCACTGACTTCACCCAGGGCCAAGGGCAGGAAGGCAGGCAGAGCTCTGTCACTCMCAGGGAAAACCACATTGAGGACCCCACTGTCAGGGCAGAGGGCTCTGTCACCTTCCCCTTCATTGTTACTGGTGACGCCAGCGATGAAGACCCTCTTATTAACATGGTCGAGGCTGAAGAAGAGCCAGAGGGCCAGGACCTGGTCACTGCTGGCCACACCCTGCTTCTGGAGAGTGGAGCAGCTGGTTCTGCCCCCATCAGCCAGGGCTCCCTCACCATCCCCTCCTCAGTCTTTGGTGTCATAAAGCACAAGGGCCCCAGCTATAGGGTCAGCGGTCTCCAAAGCAATGGCTGGGTCACCTACAGCTGTTATCAGAAGAGACGGCTGAGGTCCAGGCCTGGCAAGTCCAGGTGTGGCACCCACCAGGAGGAGGACTTCTGCTCCCACAGGTGCCCTCGAAGGCAGCGCACTGAGCCCTCGGAGGACTTYTGGGTCTGCCTCTCCTTGACCATCTGCATCTTGTGGCTCCTGTGCATGTACAGGCTGAACCTCGGAGGCCTCTAGTAGTAAGCCTGACTGCTCCCTCTGGCGTCCACGTGGCTGCTAGCAGGCCTGGCTGGCTACCCTCCTCTGAGACCACCCGGCTGCCAGCCAGTGCCCACTGRTCTCCCCGGTCTGTTCTCTTTTTTGACTCCAGTGCTGGTTTAGGGGGTCTGTTGTGAGTGATCTGACCTGTGCTTGTTTGTTCCGGAGTTTATTTGTCTGTGTCAAACTCCAATAAAAGAAAGGAAAAAACCCCCAAAACAAAAAACGGTCACTCTGCTCCCCCAAGAGGACTGAGGGGTAAGCAGGTGGATTCCCGTGCCTGGGGAGGGGCTCTCCTCCATCTCTCCCTCCTCCCTTTAGGGACCTTGCTTCCTTCTCCCGGAGGCCCGCGAGCTCCTGACCGTGTGCATATTCTGCATTGGGACAGGAACCTGGGAAGAGGTGTGGGGAGTGGGCACGCCGGAGGGTCAGGCCCGCACCTTCAGATGACGTCAGCGGGGGCACCCCTCCTGAAACCCAGCTCCCTTCCCCGCACTGCGGCCCTGGTCCCAGCGGTGCAGCCGGCTCCCGCCCCCAGCGGTGCAGCCGGGCTGACGGCCGACCGGAGCCTCCTCTCTGAGACCCCCACCCAACCAGCGCACCCTCGGCCCGGGTCCTCTCTCCCTGCAGTCCTCCGGGACGACCCCGCAGGGCCGGGTCAGGAGGCCCGCACACCCCTCTGCGCGACCTGTCCCCAAAGGGCTCTCGTCTGGGAAGGGGAGGGACTCCAGCCTGTGATCCCTCCGCAGGCCCAGGATCGGGCCCACCTTGCCTGCGGGGGCTCCAGGACAGATGAGGGGAGGRCCTCCTCCAGTTCTGGGCAGCGGGTAAGTCCCCTCACTCCAGACTCGGGCCTCTCCCGGGGACACCCCCGTCCCCWGAGCCCACCTCGGGCCCCTCCCGCACCGCCCCCACTCCTGCAGCACCCTCGCCCGGGCCCCACTGCACTTCGTGCTTTCCTGTGGCGCCCCCGTGTGGCCTCTTTGCCGCCTGGCAGCCTGCTCGGCGGTCGCAGGATGGGCCTCTGGTCACTGATGTTGTGAAGGTGCTTCTCGGTTTACTCCGTTGATTTCCCTAAAACCAAACAAGCCTCTACGCACCCTCAGTCTCACTATTAGTTTTCATTGTACTAATGATTAATATTAATTAGATTTCACTAATGAGAACGAGAGCTACTGAGGCAGGCACAGGGGTTCTGGCAGAGCTTACTCAGTATTTCAGCTGTTTTGAAGACTGCACCTACCTACCTCATAATGGGAGCTGAGGCCGAGGGCAGTAACAAGCCACTGCAGGCCTGGGACTCAAGTTCTGTAGGCATCTGAGTCTCCACCCCAGTTCCCACTGCAGCCTTCACAGGAGCTGAAATATGGTGCAGCGATAATCACACTGGGTAACCAAACTGATCTAGAGACATCAGCAGCCAGAGTCCCGGAACGGAAGACACAATGAGAAGAACCTTCTGGGCAAATGAGTTTCCTAGAGACAGGGCTCCCTGCCACCAGGCCCCTGGCACTTGTGAGAGCAGGTGCACTTCCACTGGGAGGGTCTGGTGCCCTTCCCGTCACGCTGTTGTGGACAGAGGGAATGTGGTTTTATGCACCTGTGTGAGGGTGGACTCACCTGCAGAGGTCTGTGACTTCTCACTGCAGGGCTGGGGTAGGGCCAGGTTTGTCATACAGGTGGACGGGCAGGTCTTGGACTGGGGTGAGGGGCAGGAGGCCATGGAAGTCCCTAGAAGGATCATAGTGGGTTAAGCTTTGGTCTTGAGTGGCCTCAGGTAGCTGGGGGCCCTGACAGAAAAGAGGACAAACCACCTTGGACTCTCAGGAGAGGTCCTGGCTGGAGGGGAGGCTCGGATTCCCTCTCTTCTTTGTTCTACTTTTATTGTACTGAGGATTGAACAGGGGCACTTAACCACTATGCTACAGCCCCAGCYCTTTTAAACTGTGTTTTTCAGTACTGAGGATTGAACCCAGGGCATTGCAAATGCTAGTCAAGCACTCTACACCCCCAGTAATTTTTTTTAAGAGAGAGAGTGAGTGAGAGAGAGAGAGAAAGAGAGAGAGAGAGAAGAGAAGAGAGAGAGAATATTTTTAATATTTATTTTTTAGTTTTCGGTGGACACAACATCTTTATTTTATTTATTTTTTAATGTGGTGCTGAGGATCGAACCCAGCGCCCCGCGCATGCCAGGCGAGCGCGTTACTGCTTGAGCCACATACCCAGCCCAAGTTTCTTTTTTCATATTGAGACAGAGCCTTGCTAAGTTGCTGAACTTGCAATCCTCCTGCCTCAGCCTTCCACATCTCTGGGCTTACAGGCCTCCTGTGCCCAGCCTCCCTTCCCTTTTTGGGGCCTGGAGTCTTGCATCCCTGTGCAGAAGAGGCAGGGAGGGGCTGGACTCTGGGGGCACTTCCTATATTGGACTCTTTCTTTGGGTTGCCTCCTGTTGAGGCAGCTATGCCTGTCTGCCGGGGTCTGTCTAAAATGGGGGTGTGCTGCTGTTTCTCCAGCACACACAGAGCCCAGCYGCTTGGCTACATCCTTACCTTTCCCTTGTTGCCCGAGCAGGACCTCCTGGGGCACCCCATGATGGGAATCTGCAGGTGATGGTCTGCGTCCCTGTGGCAACTCCTGTGGGCGCYTGAGCACCCAGGACCCTGGACACAGGTCACAAGTGCCCTCACATGGGACCAAAACTCTCAGAAATGTTCTGTCAGTGGGACCAGTMCTGGGGCAGTGTTGGGTCCCTCCAGGGAGCACCGTGAGGGGTGCTGTGTGATCAGCCTCCACAGCTACAGCTGGCCTGGGGATCTCCTGGTCACTGGAGCGAGAAACTGGGGGGGTGCAGGGAGCCAAGAAGAAAATGACTTAAACCCAGTTCCAGAACTAGATAGCTGATGGACTGAAGCTGGCCCACGCCTGGGCACTTGGCCAGGAAGCTGGACGTCCCCTCTGCAGCACAGCCAGGCTCGGAAGCCCTTTGTGGAAGTGTTCCCTACAAAACGTGTTCACTGCTTTTCTCTTAGTTGAAAATCCAGAGGACAGCTTACTCACTGCTGTTGCAGAATTTGTCTGCATGCTAGCCCAGTCCCCATCTGCAAGAGTGGCCTGAAATTGCCTTCTGGAAAGTTCCATGGGGGCCTCCTGAGAAGGGTGGGGAGGGAGTCTGAGACAAGGCAGATGGCCATGGATATGTCCTTCTGGTGGGGTCTGGAGTGGCCRGCTCTGCTGCCTGCTTGCATGAAGGTCAGGAAGGGAGTCTTTGCGACAGGTGGGAGCAACTGGAATAAGGGGTGATTTTTCACAGCTGCCTCCAGCTCTGCATTTCTGCTAGGCAGCAGCATGGGGAGCACCTGCTGGCTACTGTCCCTCGCAGCATATGTCCAGTGGCAGCAGCAGCAACATTGACTGCAGGCCTCTGGGCCAGGCAGGGCTGTGAGTGGCTGTTCTGCAGGGGAGGTGAAGGATGGAGTCCTCTGGTTCTCCAGTGGACGGTACACGGGAAGGGAGGGGAGTGCGACAGTCTGAACTGAGGTCACAGGTGCCAGGTAGCTCAATGACTTGTATCCCATAGACCAAGGGGTGTGGGTGCCAGGAATTCTGGTCCCTGGTTACAGGGGTCGGGAAGAAATCCAGACCTGTCCCCAGCAGGCTGTCTCTCTCCACTGCACACCTGAAGCAGGCGGGAGCAGGTGGCTTCTTCTGCTCTCCCAACACTCAGGTCTGGCCGGGGGCAGATGCACAATCTAGGAGGGCTGCTTCTACCTCCAGAGGCAGCCTCTAGGGAGCCCCACGTGGAGGGTGCCTGCCACCTCTGGGTTCACCTGAGGCCCAGGGACAGCTAGGCACTCACCCTTTGGTCCGCCCTCCCAATGTCCTGCTTGTCCCTCCATCCCTCGGTCCCCCACAGCTGGGAACCACTCACTGGGTAACACTGGGGACYAAGGTGGAAAGCCTTTCCTGTTTTTCTTTAAGCTGCATCTGAAGCAGTTACTCTGTGAGGGCTAACGCCGGGTGACAAACAGCCCTCACCCTCGGGCCTCCACACTGTGCTGGTGATCTAGCAGGGAGTGTGGGGATGTCTAGTGATGTTGTCCTCTGCATGTCCTTGACAGCTAGGGCGTCAAAGACCCTTTCAGGGCCTCCTCTCTGGAATTTAAAGTCACAGATCTTCCCCTCAGACCTTGTTAGCTGCATCCCACACATTTTGGCTGACATTTTGATGATTGTTTGGCATGTTTTCTAATTTCCTTGTGATTTCTTCTTGGACCCATGATGCCTATCTAGCATCATCTTGTTGATCTGGAGATTCTGTGACTGACCTGTGGTTAATTCCACTGTGCCCAGGGAATGAGTGCAGCATCTCACTCCTGAAATGAAGATGTGCTCTATGGCCTGACACAGGCTGGGTCCTGCCTGATGCATGTTCCTCCTGCACTTAAGATCTGCATTCTCTGAAGCTGGAGGCATGCTTTCCAGATCTTCTGACTTGCTGAGTCTCATGTGCTTGTCTAGCCAGTTACCGAGAGGTGGTGACCACCGACTGTGACTGAGTCTAGTTTTCATTTCTGTTCAGTTGTATTTTTACTTCATACATTTTGCAGCTGTTATGAGATTCTTAASCACTAAGAGTTCTGTGTCTTCCTGACAAGCTGGCCCTTTGCCACGGTGGAAGGGCCTCTCTGTCTCTGGGCATGTGCCCTGGCTGGATGTCAGTGCTCTTCAGCTGGTGCCTGTGTGGCCTCCCTGGTTACACAGCCCTGGTGCCTTGCCTTCTGAGTGAGATCCTGGAGGTGCAGGCAGCTGGCTTTTCCTGCCTTTTGTTTGAGATGTTTCTTGTCGTTATGGACACAGTTCACTTTGAACCCTAATTTGTCTTTATTTGTCTTGGTTCTTTGTTCCTGTGTTCCTCCATCCCTGGCTTTTCTGGGTCAGCTGACTGTTTTTTAGACTGTTGAGCGTTGCTGATCGTGAAG